GCTAGGCAACAGGAGAGTAGCATCTGCCCTACTGGGTGAGTAGAGACCAAATGACTGAGACAATACAGCCCTTCCTAGTTCTATCCTTTCACCCTAGAGCCTAACAGGGGCCCAGTCTAGAAATTTTGTATTTTAGTAGAAAAATCTTCTAGTCTTCCAGAGCACTTCCTGTCACTCTTCCAAGACATGGTGACCCTTGTGTGCACTTTCCATTTCATACCCAATGTGCAGTGGAGCCATTCTTGGCCACACAGCTGGGAAGTTCTGCAGACACATGTAGGTCAAATTCAAATAGTAACAATGACACAATGAAAAAGAGGCCAAAGATCCTTAGGATTCACATAGTGAAACTGACCATCTTACCAAAAGCAATCTACAGATTCATTACAAGCCTCAGCAAAATTTCAACACAATTCTTTACAGATCTTGAAAGAACAACTCTCAACTTCATATGGAAAAAAAAAAAAGAAAAGCCAAAACAATTCTTATCGAAAACTTCTGGAGGTATCACAATTTCTAACTTCAAGCTGTACTACACAGCAATAGGAATAAACACTGCATGGTATTGGTATAGAAACATTCAGGCTGGTCAATGGAATCGAATCAAAGACCCAGAAATAAACCCACACACCTATTGACACTTGATTTCTGAAAGAAAAAAAAAAAGCCAAAACCACAAAATGGAAAAGGGAAAGCAACTTGAACAAATGGTTGTAACTGGCAGTCTGCATGTAGAAGAATGCAAATGGATCCATACTTACGCCCTTCACAAAACTCAAGTCCAAGGATGAAAGACCTCAACGTAAAACCAGATACACTAAATATAATAGAACGGAAAGTAGGGAATAACCTTGAACTCATTAGCATAGGAGACAACTTCCTGAACAGAACACCAATGGTTCAGGCACTAAGATTAACAATTAAAAAATGGGACCTCAAAGAACTGAAAAGCTTCTGTAAGTCAAAGGACACCATCAATAGGACAAAATGACAGCCTAAGAATGGGAAAAAAAATCTTTACCAACCCTACATTTGACAGAAGGCTAATATCCAAAACAAATAAAGAACTCAAGAAGTTAGACACCAACAACCCAAATAAACCAATTAAAAAATGGAGCACAAAGCTAACAGAGAATTCTCAACAGATGAATCTCAAATAGCTGAGAAACACCAAAAGAAATTTTCAAAGTCCTTAATCATCAAGAAAATGCAAATCAGAATGGCTCAGATCAAAAGCTCAATGGCTAGCACATATTCGGAAGGATGTGCAGCAAGGGGAACATGCCTCCACTGCTGGTGGCAGTGTAAATTTGTAAAACCACTCTGGAAATCAATTTGGCAGTGACTTAGATAGTAGGGAATAGTTCTACCTCAATACTTGGCTATACCATTCCTGGGCATATGCCCAAAAAATGCTGCACCATCCCACAAAGACACTTGCTCAACTATGTTCATAGCAGCTTTATTCATAATAGCCAGAAACTGGAATCAACCTATATGTCCCTCAACTAAAGAATGGATAAAGAAAACATGGCGCATTTACACCATATTAAAAACAAGGACAGCATTAACTTCACAGGCAAATGCATGACACTAGAGAATGTCATCTTTGTGATGCAGAACTGGCAAAGAGGGTCTGATACTTGGATGTGAAGTGAATGAAAAATAAATTAATAAATTAATAAAAACAAATGAAAATTAAATTTTTAAAAAATGTTTTCAACAGACAAAAGAGTTCATGAAATTGAATACAAAGAGGAGTATATGGGAGGGAGGAAAAAGAATTTGGAAATGATGTAATTATAATTTCAAAAATTATAGTTTTAATGGAAACCAACTTTAGGGCCTCATGTGCTCCAGGAACTAGCAAACTGTACAAGATCACATCACGGATTACTCACACCTTCTCTTTCAGGATGTACATTTTCAGCAAGGAAAGAAAACAGACCTGTTAGGCATGGTCACATCAGCTTGCCCAAATGTTCTGTTTTGATTGAACTAGTATGCCTACAGTAATTTGGTAACTAGAAATAAGTTCAGTTCTTTGTTCAGAGACTTGAGTGCCTGGTCTGTGGACCTAAGAAATGGCCTTCAGGACTTGTACTGATCATCTAAAATTGATTACTTGAGTACTCATTGGTAATCCCAACTGCTGCCAAAGCAGGAAGGCTCCCACCCTCCTTCCTGCCTTCCTGTTCTGTGCTGTGACATCACTGAACACAATTCTTACACAAATTCATTTGTAATTCCCCAATAAAAGCCAGGGAGGGCAGAGGACAATCATTCACTGGTCTCTTTTTCCTTCTCCCTGACCAGCCTGGAGGAGTTGCAGGACTGTCTTTCAAGCACTGGGCAGCAGAGGAAGGATTAGGTGTGCAAAGCAATTTGCAATTACATAGTGTGAGGCAAGCCGGAGCTATAGGAAATACTAATGTAAACAGAATTAAATTAAATAAATAAATAGTACTTGAGAAAGAAATGGAATAACATTCTTAATGATCAAGAACCATTAGAGAATAGAAACAAATAGAGAGAAAACCAGTGGTGCATTTAAAGAAAATGAAGTTTAAAAAGTAAAACCAATAATTAACTTTTTAAAAAGGTAAAAATAACCGAACACTTAGCTATACTGACTTGGAAAATGAGTAGGATCTGCCTTAGTAGAAGGAATGCCATAAATAGATACCAACTGACATTGCCCCTCTGCACAATGTGAGCTACTGAGGTCTATAACCTGACACACACAGCTAAAGCCAGTGAGTGGGTCTCAAACCTCTGAGCTGACTTAACTGTGGCAACCAGAATTACACATATCTGCATAGGAGAGTTCCCTAACTGGAAATTCAATACTCAATGACTCAAGGTAACCTCCTCAAATGGTACACCCACCAATCTGGTCTGTCTTCACTCACATGGCATGAATTAACACATATTGCAAAATTACAAACTCACTCACAGTGCCCTGCCTCAGTCTTCACAATGGTGGTCCCTGCAGCTGACTGCCTTCAACTTCAGTCTGTGATCTAGCAATTGCCTGCCCAGTTTCTCTCTGCAGTGCACACAGTAAACTCTGGTCTGCACGCAGAGGACATGCTCCACACACAAATCCTTTTCCTGTTGCTTCAATTGGCAGTTGACTAACTCAGATTGGAAAGTTTAAAACTCTGTGATGAGACACCCCTTTAGAGAGCAAGACAACTGCCCTGTGGAGCTACAGACGAGGATCAAGATCACCTGAAGCAACATAAAAGACAGAGCCTCAGAAACAAATTTTTATAAGGCTGGTGGTACACCTGTTCTAGAATGAATACACCTTCCTCAGGAGAAATAACTCCATGAACTTAAGGCATTAATGAAGAAAAAATTCTTGAAGAATAGCATGCATCCAGCTCTGGAGAATGCTCAAAGAGGAGCCAGCTTAGAACAGATTTTGCATTCTATACGTGCTGGGTCAGGTCCCAGGTTACACTTTCAACAATTTATATAGGAACAGAAGACTGCAAGTCTAACCACTGAGGCAGATGGAAGATATACACAGTACAGATATTCCCAGGACTATTTCTTAAGTACACCAGTGTCCTGGAACACCAGATCATTCTAAAGTGACAGGGTCCACTTGTAGGAGATGAGAAATACTGCGAAAGTAAAAGGAAGAAAAGATAAAAGCTGGGGTGGGGAAGTCTTGCCCAAGCTATGCCTAAGTCAAACAACTTCTTAACAAGAAGAGCGTCTTGTATACTACTTCCAGGAGGAAAATGGAAGGAAATGGGGGTGGCTTCTATGACGACAACAGGAACAATCATACACTGGTACAAACACAGAAGGAGGTTAATCAAACAGTCTGCTGCATAAGGGGAACACAGAGTACAGCTCTCAAGAGCTGTACTCATCAAGCCCACGGTGGCTGTGGGACTGATTGGTGACCACAGTCTACTGTGTTGGGAAGAGTTGAGTTCTCACCAACAGAAGAAACCCTACTCCAGGCCCTGGCCCCGACCGTGACCAACTCTCACAAGCATGCTCCTGGTTTGGAGAAGGTGCTTCGTTTACTCTCTATACCTCAGAGCCATAGGAAGGCTCCCAAGCATGCTCCTTCTCCATGTATGAGGACCTCAGGGAATGCCTTGCTTGATCAGGCCAGCCCTCGATACAACAGTGTGTTTGGTTTTCAAGTAGCTGTCACACAAGGTCTTCTTGCCCATCTGGTAGAACTATGCTTTTCTCAAGAAAACTGGACCTTTATGTCACACTAGGCCTTAATGTTGGTTGTGACACTGTAATGTCCCTTTGAGCAGCTTGTTAGACACATGCCCTTTAATATAGGCATTGGACTAGTGGTGGGTTGTGAATCAAAGTTGTCTCCTTTATTATGATTGGAGCCAAATGTCTAGACAATCCCTATGAACAAATGTGTATCCTGGCACCTCATGTCTAACAAGCCTGGTTAGCATACTATGTGTTTGGGAGGGTGTTGTAGAGGTAGCCCTCCCTCAGCTAAATTCTACTTCGTGTGACTTACTGTCTCATAAGCATTGGTAAATCCTTTACATCACCAATTCTACTCTTGAACATCACATCTTATGACTCACAACACATGAGGTTATATTTACAACATCCACAAAATTAACTCCAAATGGATCGTGCTCCGAAACGTTCAATAGCGAGTGCACAAATATTAAAGGTGCTAGAGAAACTAGGATTTTCCTGAATTTGGCAACCAGCCAGCCTCCGGTGCACCGAAAGCTCAGTGAAGCTGAGTCCATCAAAGCCCCTACACACAGCCCCAGTTCCCAGGCCCTGCAGATGCAGCCCACAGCGTGAAGTTATTCAGAGGCCTCCACGGGGGCTGGGGGGCGGGGGGCTGGCAGTTCCAAACACCACAAAGGACCTCACGTGCCATATCTGGCCACTAGCTTCCACTCAGACCCAGGGAGGGCCCACCACACGGGTTCCCGACGCTCAGAATCCCACTCCTCCCCAGACAGCCGTCCCTGGCTCACCATAGCTTGCCTTCCAAACTTGTGCGCATACCCCTCTCAGCTCTTGGCAGAGGCACAGATCCCCCAGCACCCACTCCACTTCACAGCAGAGCCCGGAAGAGCCCGCCTCACGTCTGACTGGCAGTCGGCCTGGAGGTCCTGATTGGCTAGAAAGGCCTTGAGTGACAGGAGCACCTCCCTAAAGGTCAGAGTATGCTGAAGAGACCGCAGTATTTTCTGGCACTGGTTTCACTCCAGGCTCAGACCTTTCCCAGATCTGCAGAGACTTCTTTCAATAGCACTTGTCTCCTGCCTCCAATACCCCTGTCTTCCTCCACGGGCTAGGCACTTCCCATCTTCCTTCTGGACAGGAAGCCAGTTTGCTCAGCACACTACACAATGTGCAGTGGAGTGACTCTTCTCCACAGGTGGAAGAAAGCCCACATTATTAACAATTAAGGAGTGAGTTTAGGAAACGTTTGTTCTGTGGCTTCACGCTGAGGTCAGGTGAACTGCAGCTACAGTTTAATCTGGGAGGCAAGGGTACTTCAGACAATCCTGAGAGAAAAGCTGGATACAGATCACAATGATAGATGTTTCTCCTACCAGAAGGCTGGATTGTGGTCCATTCCTATTGGAATTTTCTTCCTGAAATTCAGTTCGATCTCTTGACAAATGAATCATAATGAAAAGTATAGTTTCCTTGGTAACTTGAATATTTAGAGAGAATGCCTTTTATGGAAATCACTGTTACCTAGCGTTCTTCCCGAGTATTAACATGAAGAAAACACAACCATATTAATCCGAGTTCTCTAGGTGAAGAGAACTGATCAAATTAATCTTTATGTATGTAGAAAGGGGATTTACTAGAATGACTCACAGGCGGTGGTCCGGCTAGTCTAAGAAGGTTAGTCTACCAACTAAACTTTGAAGAATCCAGTAGTTCAGTACAGAGTTCTGCACAGAGGCCTGATCTCTCCACTGGTCTTCAGTAAACAGCACAATGTCAAAGAAGTAGGCTCTGAAGCAAAGGAGTTAACTCGCTAGCCAGAGACAGGGTAAGCAGGCAAAGAGAGAGACAGGGTAAGCAGGCAAAGAGAGAGACAGGGTAAGCAGGCAAAGAGAGAGAGAGACAGGGTAAGCAGGCAAAGAGAGAGAGAGACAGGGTAAGCAGGCAAAGAGAGAGACAGGGTAAGCAGGCAAAGAGAGAGAGAGACAGGGTAAGCAGGCAAAGAGAGTGCTTCCTTCTTCAATGTCTTTTATATGTGTAGGCTGACACCAGAAGGTGTGACCCAAATCAACGTTGGATCTTGTCACTTCAAAAGATCTAAACTGAAGAAAGGTCTTCCCACTTCAAAAGCTTTAAATAAGAAAAAGCCCTTGTTGAATCCTGGGGAGCCTCCCCCCTCCCAGGTCTCAGGCAAGTCCAAGGGGTGACCTTAGCTGAGAGTCCCAGCAGTGGGGATATGGAACCTGAAAAGGCCACCTCCTGTATCCAGGAACTCCACTGGAGCAATAGGGACTCTCATTCACCCACAAAACTTTCGACCCAAAATTTATCCTGTCTACAAAAAATTGCAGAGACGGGGGATGGAGCAGAGACTGAGGGAATAGACAACCAATTACCTGCCCAACTTGAGATCCATCCAATGGGCAAGCTCAGGTCCATGACACTATTAATGATGCTCTGTTATGCTTGCAGGCAGGTCCTAGCATAAGTGTCCTCTGAGAGTCTTCGCCCAGTAACTGACTAAAGCAGACGCAGAGATCCAAGCCAAACATTGGATGAAGTTCAGGAACTCTCATGGAAGGGCTAGGGAAGAACTGGGGGCCCCAACAGTAAGGAACTCCCTGGAGGACCAACAGGGGCCCATGGGGGCTCTCAGAGACTGAACCACCAACCACAGAGCATATGCTAGGTGGACCAAGACAACCATGTAGCAGATGTGAAGTTCAGTCTTCATGTGGATTCCCCACCAACTAGAGTGGAGACCATCCCTGAAGCTGTTGCCTGTCTGTAGAATACGCTCCCGTAACTAGGCTGCCTTGTCTGGGAAGGTTGATTTACCAGGGCACTGGAATACTTGGGGGTTGCTCCACCATTTCAGAAAAGAGAGGGTAATGGGGGAGAGACTGTGGGAAGAGTTACGGAGGCTGCAATTAGGATGTAAAGTAAATGAAAAATTAATTTAAAATAATAAATTAGACACTAACAACAATAGCTATTACAAAATCAAAAGAAAGAAAGAAAGAAAGAAAGAAAGAAAGAAAGAAAGAAAGAAAGAAAGAACCCTTACAGACATTCCCAACTGTGTGGAATTCCAGATGGAGACATTTTGACCACCAAGTTTAGCCATCACAACAGCCTGAAGAGGTGAGCCAGATTTCTCCCCTGAAATAGACACATACAGCGTGGAATCACTTCCAAAGCAATGTTCGTCCTCAAGGAAAAAAAAAAAAAGAAAGAAAAAAAAAAGAAGCAAGGAGACTTGCTTCAGGAGACTAGACACAATCATGGAGCAGTCTGTCTATTCCCACACATGCTCAGTTAACAACTCCACTTCTGAACATGGTCATAATGTAAAAGACATTTGGGGACATTGTTAGGTCAAGAGCTGCAGGAATAAATATAAATCATGAAAGGATAGAAAAAAGTCTCTGGCGTGTTCATCTTATACCATAAGATCTTTGTTGAAAATCGAGTGTTAATCCCACCAGGCAACAGTGAGCCCACTACCACAATTTTGAGACAGATTTGAAGCAAGCTGATTTTCCTGGTGTACAGACAAAAGCTGGCCAGCCACTGCCTCCCACGTCGGATTTAAGACAGCAGCCCCAAAGTTATTTCTTGGGCTCCATTTAAGGAGTAAAATCACAAATAGTTGCAAAGCAGTTCTACAAGAGTGAGAAAAATGGGGCAGTGAAGAAATACAGAAAAATGTAAAAAGCAAACCAAACATAAAAACAGCTGTCTCCACATGATTAGGTAAGGCACTTAGGGAGGATCAGGATGTTTTAAAAAACTGGTCAAGGTCATGGGTTGGGACAGGTCAGGCTCCAGAAAACAGACTTAAAAACAGCAACTTAACTCTTACAATAAAGGGAAAAATTATTTATTTTTAAAAATACAAATACTACTGCCTTCAAAATGGAGTCAGGCAGATTCCTCACAAGTGAAAGACGCTGTGAAAGTAGATTATTTGTAGTTAATTTGTTATTAGTTAATCACGATGTGTGATCTAAAAGATGTATCAGTGCCACAATTCTCACAAATAGGAAGGAGAAATAGCACAAATAAAGAAAACATCTAGAAAAAGTCACCTATTAGCCAAGCATTTTAACATATGTTAACAGGAGCTGGGAGGCAAAGGCAGGCAGTCTGATATTCATGAAGTTAAGGACACTCTGGTCTACTGAGTCGTGTTCATAACAAAACTTAACTAAAACAGACACTGAGAGGCCAAACCTACTCAATCTTGAGACTAGCCTCCATCTTAAAGGGAAAAAAAAAAAGTCTGAGAACTTGACCTGCAGCAGAACCCAAGCTGCGCCCTCCCTTTCTGCTGTCAGACAGCGGCGTGGCCCAAACCCCAGCTTATAAATAAAGACCCTAATGAGATTGCATCGGAATCGGCTCCTTGGTGGCCTTTTGGGGTTCACGAACGCTTTCTGGCACATTTTGTTGAGTTGGGTGGGAACTCCAAGGCCACCAGGATCCAACATGCAGGGTCTCAATACCAGTAATGTCCTCTGAGTCTGAGTGTGTCTGCCCATGTGTTTATGTAGTCTGTCTGTCTATGCGCCTTTGTGATACCGCAATAATTCTGTTCTGAAAAATTCTGTAATTCTGTTCTGAAAGGGCCTAAGAATCTGTATTTCGTGGCAAGAAATGACGAAAGCCAATGCAGAATCCCACTGCAGCGGACACACTGGGATGTCATAGCCTCAAGCCCCTGGAATAGGGAGTGTCCCAGGTGTTAATTTCTGGGAAGGGAGGGGCGGACCTGAAACCTGCTAGTAGGTGTGGAATCCTGCTACACTCTGTCCTGTTTATTCTCACTGCTGGCTAGCTGCTCTGTGTGTGTCACTTTTTTTTTAATTGGATATTTTATTTACATTTCAGATGTGATCCCCTTTCCCCATTTCCCTCCCACCCAGGAACCCCCAATTCCATCCCCCCTCCTCCTGCTTCTTTGAGGATATGCCCCTATCCACCCACTCCCACCTCCCCACCCACGAATTCCCCCACACTGGGACATCCAGCCTTGTGTGTGTCACTTTAAGGAACTGCTGTCCCCTCTGCTTTCTGTTTCTTGTTTTGGGGTGATTTGACTTTGACGGAATGACGACGTAGAGATTAGAAGACCCACCCTCTTGATTTAACCCATTTTTTCCCGGACTGGCCCTGTGCTTTACAGATATCCGCCAGCTGCCGAGTGCACTGCGGGCACCGGTGGGGACCCGTCCAGGCGGGACCCCAGTCACTCCCATAGCGGAGCCTTCCAGCCACCACGGCGCCCCGGGCAGGGACTGACAGACAGTCCGGGGAACTGGGACCCGAGGAGGGACAGCGAGTCGGTGCGGCTCCACTGCGCTCTGGCAGAGGTGCGGGGCCCAGTCACTCGGTGCCTGCCAACAGGGTGCTGTGGCTCCCGCACGCTCACCACCCACACCGAGGGGGCTCTGCGGCCCTCGGGGGACCCAAACTTCCTTCCTAGCACCGCCCTCGGGGCCCTCCCGGGCGGCCGCAGAGCACAAGGAACCTGCCCCGACCCTGCGGTGAGCCTGGCAGCGCGGCTCGCACAGGCGCGCCTCCCTCGTCCCCCGGCAGAGCGCAGGCGCGGCGCACACAGGCGTCCCGGGTCTTTAGAAAGGTCTAAGCCCGGGGCCTCCCGCGTCCATAACTGAGATTTCCCTGAGTGGGGAGATGACTTCCCAGAGAGCAAGGCTCCAAGCGCGAAGTGGGCAGGAGAGGCCCCTAGTGGGCAGATGTCTCCCTCACCGAAGCTTGGAACAGACTCCTGGTAATTCATTTTACTCAGTAAATGGCTACCCTTCCTGCCAAGAGAAGTGTTTGTTTTCCTGTCTAAACAGATGAGGTCTCTGAG